CCGCACGCACCGACGTTGCCAAAGGCGAGGCCCCAAAACCGCAGGCCACACAAAGCTAGATACATGGATACATGTGCAGACTCCTCCATTGATTGGCATACGATTGCCAGCAGAGGACAGGCCAAAAGCCGAGACCGAGTCATAGTCAGAGTCAGAGTCAGAGACTGAGCCAAAGTCCCCTCCTGAGTGCGTTTTCGAGAGATGTCAGCCTACCCTTTAGACGTCATCATTGATGCCTGATGAATTGAGTCAGCTCGGTGGGGCACAGGGGCACGGGAGACACTGCGGAGACGGTGATGAGAGTGAGGCTGGTGAAGCTCTGGCCATGTTCATGTTCAATTAGTGCAACGGCACTGCACTTTGTCCATATAAAATGCCTGCGAGTCTAATTAATTACTACACGAGACAGATACAGCAACACATTGAGAAAGGGGGCATCGCATCTCTGTCGGTCGAAAACCGCAGCCTGCCATCCATCTGTCTATCCGTGTATCCTGTGACTGATTTCAATGGAACCAGCAGCAAGAGCAGCAGCAGCTGCAGCTGCATTATTAGGCCATGTCCATGTCCGGCATTGGTTTCTCTTGCCCATCGGGGCACCCAACTAATAGCGAAATAGCATCTAAAGGCTCCACCCAAACCCCAATCCCCCAACCACGAAAATAAAGCAGATCAAATTTGTATTTTGACTAGCGGCTAAATATTTGCCATTGAATTTCAGAGCATGTCGTTGGCTGCGATTATAATCAAGGGGCTGCTGCTGGCTTGAAAAGGAAATTCATACCCCACTATCACAGCAGCAGTGATGCATCCATCATGTACCGCTCAGCAATCAATTTTAGTTGCAATTTTATGTACATAAAATGCCCGAAACTTTAGATACTCTCCCACAGATTGGCACTGGCATGTGTAGCCACCCTTTGGGAAGAGGGGTAGATAAAGTAGAAAATTGTTGCAGCCAATTTGCATATTGAATTACATTCATTGTTGATGCTTGCGTGCGTTTAATCCAGCTGTACCTCTGGCATCCCGCATCTGCCCCATCACCCACTGCCCGCCTTTTATGTCAAACAAAAACCGCTGTCATATGTGTGGCTGGAAGGCTGAAACTGGGACTGCCGCTGGTACTGGGAGGCCTGCCAAAGAGTTGTCATTGTCCCACACGCAGCAGCTCCTTTAGTTATTTATTTTCACAACATATTCTCCCCTCTACCCGCTGAGTCTTCTTTTTTTTTTGACGCTTTTGAGTGACGCTGACAATGCTGGCAATTGGCAGCCGCCACATGCCAAGTCAGCAGAGGCTATAAAATATTCAGTTATGGCAACAAAGGGCCACAAAATGCGAGCAGCACTCTTCTGCCATCTGGTGTATTCTTTTTTTTTTTTGGCTGATGCCTGACTGATGTACTCTCCTTCCTATACAAAATGTTGCCTCTTCTACTTTTGGCCTCAATTTGGCATGCAAATAAATTGGCTGAAAATGCAAGTAACTATTGTCCAAGTAAGTAAGGGTTGGGGAGTCTCCCCTGAGAATTTACAATGTTTACTGCACTGAGTGGAATTAAATGAAAGTACAAACAGAATGCACAATTAGGGGCCATACAAAACAAACCAAAAAATATTCCATAGAAATTGAACACCGAAATTGGGTCTTACTACTGATGAGGATCATTATTTGTATTCTCGTTATTTTTGGAAAATATTTTCCTTGCAAACATACTCGCAATTTGGGAATTGTTTGAGGAAGCTTAGACTATGATGCATTTTAGGTTCTTGCCTTGCATAACTTTACGGTTTAAAAGAGTCGATACAAAAACAAAGAACAACGAGTGGTTTGTGTGTTTGTTACTCGATTTCCATAGGGGTTTTCGACAGAGAAGCGAATTAAATAACCTATTTATATTGGGCGTTAATCTGTTAATTGCCTTTCCGGCATGTCTCTCGAATAGTTTACGCTCTCATTCTTTTCTTTTGACATCGCTGCATTTTAATTACATCTGGATAATCACCTAAAAGATTACAACATTTCCTGAATTTATCAAATTGACTTCAGTTGAGGACCATTAACACAGCCACATGAATCTTCCCACTCTCAGACTTGCAGCCAGCTAATTGCATTACATAAAGTACTTAACTCATAAACATTTCTCCACATATCCATTAAAAAACTTAACTTTTCCGACACCAAGCGAAATCTTTCGACTGAAATGAAATTACATCAAGTTGTTGCTGGGCCCGAACTTGGGTGCTTGGGTGATAATGAAGCCAATTTGCCAATGAGAGCAAAATGCTAAAACAATTAAGATTCAATTTGAAAGTTCTTCAAGCTGCACTTTTCCTGGTGCCTCTCGGCCAGAGTGACAATTTGAGCTCGTGCCGAGAAGGGGCCAGTACTGGATCATCGGTGGTGTTCCTGTTCATGTCCATGACCAGGCAGGGTCGGTTCTGTTCGGTTCGGGTTAAGACCATTTGGCCAAAAAGCATTACAAGGATTTAATTTAAAAGTTTGCAACACTTGGCTGACTGGCTGACTGGCTGGCTGGCAACAGAGCCGAGGGGGAGAGTGGGTGTGGCAGATGGGGCAATTAAAGCACATGCAGCAAATGCAATTTTTTAACTTAATCTAGAAAACGATTCGGTGAATGAATTGCCTTTTTGGCCAGCCAACATATACATGGGAATTTTGTTGTATTTTTTTAATTTGAGTTGCAGCAAAAGGAGTGAGAGGGAGAGTGCAGAGAAGTGCAGCCTCTGTTGCTACTGCGAAAAGTTTCGGATATGAAGCACATTAATTAGAAGCTGCCACGCTCGGCAGACACGCGTCCAGGTGCCTAAAAAGTTATCCAACGTGCAACATGTTTCGGTGGAGGAGCCAAAAGTTTCTCAGTTCTCGGTTCCCGGTTCTCGGTTCTCGGTTTGTGTGTTGCATTTGAGTTTGACTTGAAGTTGAAAGTTGATTTTTCTCTCTATACTTATGCTACATATAGGCACTTTTTGCTTTTAATTAAGACCGCCGTCATGCGCCATGCACTTAAGTCCTGTGCGAGCTGAAGGTAGCTGCTGCTGCACTCTGTCCGCCAGCATCATTAGCAGTCGCTGCCTGACTGCCTGACTGCCTGACTGCCTGAGCGCCGACAAGGTGTTAACTTTTAAACGTAACATTTAATTTTCGCTAAAAGAGCAAATATAAAACATATGCACAGACAGCGCAGGGCGGTTGGGGCTGTGGGGAGTTTTTGTCCTGTTATAAATAAAGTAATCTTCACGCACGTAATTCAAATGTGGCGGATGGGCGTGTCTGGGCCGGGCGTTGCGTCTCATTTAGCGCACGTAACCAAATAATGACCCCAAATGATGCTCCTGCCTGATGACCCACGCCGCGGCAGACAGAGAGGCACAAACTAGGGACGCAATGGCAGACATTACGACTATCAGATACCCAGCAGACCAGAGGTAAACTCTTCATTCTCCGACTGTAATCATGAGCACAACGGAAACGCACTAATTCGACTGCTGTTTTATCTACTTAAGATTATGATTACCGGAAGCTTTCTTCTTGGTTTATGCTACCGCTTAGCTGTCCAGATGCCATGTAATTTTTGTGCGGCTGTCACATACCTTTCGGCGCGCCCAACATACCCTTTTGAGCCGCTGCGTGTACCGTGTGGAAAAAGTAAACTGCGTGCGTATTGTAAATAAAATAAAATGTAACGAAACGAAACGAAACGAAGCGAAATGTTTTATCAACGTGCCGAAGCGCACTAAACAGGAGCACCCCACTCCCATCCCCCAGAGCTGTCCAACTGACAGATGGTTACGCTGACCAAAGTGTGGGGGTTGCGGGCATCCCCGCCCCGCCCCCCCTCCGCTATCACAGGCCTTTGTCTCCCTTTTGCTGATTATCGCTTCTCGTTCATGTGATATTTGTTGTTGTAATTGTTTTGGGAGGAGTGTGGAGTGTGGAGTGGGCGAAACAGGAAGATAGATTGCAATTGCCACAGGCCATTACCGAATGCGGTGTAGAGTGGGTTCTGGGCAGAGGAGCACACAAATTTCTTGTCATTAAATTAAAAATAAACGACAATATTTTATGCGCCTATAAATATGCAGCACAGAAACACACACCGACAAAACGCCTGTCTCGTAACAGGGAAAGCGAGCAGCTGTTGGAATTTATTTATGCCATTTGTTGCTGCAGTAGTTACACTTTTAATGTCTTCCTTATGCGTGGATGAAGCGAGGGACGAGCTCCAACTGCACACAGGTGTGGCTCTTCGAAGGAGTTTACAAGCTAGAAAGATGCCTAAGCCGTTTGTAAGAAGAATTTATATCTGCTAGATGCATGCTGGGGAGGCTGCTCTACTCTGCTGGCGAGTCGTAAATAATGATTAGGCAATTGGCAGAAGGCTTAGCAAATTGACATTTGCAATTGCATCGTAGAGCCACGCCTTTTAGATCGGAAATATGTTTTTTCAGCATTTAAAGCTGTTCATTTTTGGTCCAGATACAAAATAAAATCTGCTATAATTCGTTTTGTGCTTGGAAGCAACTAATTTGCATCTCAAATAAGTTTCCTGAAGACATTTTAAGCCTCCCGCAGATACTTTATAATTATTGTCCCTGAAGAGCTGTAGATATATTTGCAATTTCCACCGATAGATACTTTTACATTCGTTTCCAACAAAAATATTTACAGATTTCACACATTTTTCGGAATTTCTCTCAACTCTTTTCGCATCTCACAGCTGCTCCTTTTGCGATAATCTCTCAAACAACTCCCAGACCCATTCTCACATTTCAATTTGCAAAGACTTCTTGGCATTCAGCCCCTGAAATCCCACAGCTAACATGTCTCAGATGCTGCCTTTTCGATTCGATTCTTCGACTCCCCATTTGGATACAGATACGCAGATACATTCGTAGATACACGTGTGCGTGTCCATCTGAGCAGATACTTGTGCAGCTTCTGCAACGCCACCCATTGATAAAAGTTCAATAAATAAAGCTCAAAATGAAAATAAATCTTCTCATGGGTCTTTACAATGCAATCCTAATGCTACACCTTCTTCTGCACCTGCTCCTTGTATCTGCAGCCGGGCAGCCTGGAAGGGCTTCTGCTCCTCCTCCTCCTCGTCGTGCAGCTGCAGCTGCTGCTGCTCCGCCGGCTCGTTCCATGGCTGGGTCACGGCAGTGCCCCAAATCAAGTAGATCACATTGCCAGCAAAGAGGACGACAGCCGCCAGGCTGAAGACCAGCTGCCACTCGCTGCGCTGTGTGGCATCCGTGACCAGCACGCCCACGACGAGGGGCGTGCAGAGGGCCACCAGGTTGGTGAAGGTGCTCAGGATGCCGGCGAGGATGCCGGCATGATTCGGCGACAGGTCAATCGTGTTGAGTTCGCTGCCAATTGTCGCCGCACTGCTCACGCCCACGCTCAGCGTGACGAGCAGCAGCGCCAGCGACTTTTGCTCCACGCCCACGAAGCCCACCGCCAGCATAATGGAGGCGGGCGCCCACAGGGCAATGCTGTTGTATGTCTTCCTCAGCGCCGTCAGACTGAGGCACTTGTACTGCAGCAGGGTGTCCGCCACGATCAAGTACACGTAGCACATGGCCCACATGAGCAGGAAGGGCAGCGCGGAGAACACCGCATTGCTGGTCATCTCCAGGCGCAGGACTCCGCTCAGATACGCCGGCAACTCCGCCTGCATGGTGGCCAGGCCCCAAGTGTCCGCACAGCGGGCACACAGCAGCGCATAGAACGGTGCCGAGGTGAAGATGCCACGCCAGGGTATGGCCCGCCTGCGCTCCCGCTTCTTGGAGCTCAGCTGCATCTGCAGATCGCCCATGATGTACTCCTTCTCGGCGGCGCCAATGAAGCGAGCCTCGCTGGCCCGGTTGGCGCCCAGCAGCAGCCACAGCAGGCACCAGCAGAGGGCCAGGCCCGAGGAGGCATAACTGATGCCCGGCCAGCCCAGCGGCGAACTGGCTATCGTCCCCGCCGCATACATGGCCAGCACATTGCCACAGTCGAAGCCCGTGTAGGCGAAGGCGCCGAGACGCGTTCGTTCCGCCTCGGGTGCCCAGTTGGCCAAATGCTGGTGGATGCAGGGCCACGTCACCTGACACAGTCCCTGGAGCAGACGGATCAGGCAGAAGGCCTGCCAGCCCGCCGCATAGATGCTGTGCGGTGTCGCCGCACTGAGCAGCGCCGAGCCCAGGGTGCCCAGGAGGAGGACGGCCTTCGAGCCGAAGCGCTTGCACAGGTAGCCGGCGGGGAACTGGGCCAGTGTGGAGCCCCAGTAGAAGCTGGACAGGATGTAGGACTTCTCAGACTCCGTCCAGTTGTAGTACTGCAATGGGGGATGTGGTGGATGTGAGAGATGGTGCATACGGTGGCTGCTTCGCTTACCCACGGGCGTGTCCTCATTGATCGATGTCGCATTGGTCATGGCCACCACAGTCACACCCACATTCAGCTGGAGAATTGTGTTGGCCGCCAGTCCAATAAACAGCAGCGCAGCCTGCAAGTGCCTCAGTCCCAGGCGGGGCACTGTCCACGGGTTGGGAAGAGCGTTAATCAAGTGGATTCACATTTTGTGGACTCTCACTCACCCTTTTCGAGATCCTCCTCCATGTCGGCTGGCTCTGGATTTCTAGACTTAAATGTGATTCAGATTTCAGGCCACGTTGGCAGTGCTTAAATTTGCATTTGGCTATCACTTTGGCAGCTGCAAGGTATATCCAAATGTATGTGTTTTGGGTTATTTATGGTACATTTTATATCCAACAAAATCTGCTTAGGCTGGTGTTTGGCAGCCTCAAAGGGGTGCAAGTATTTCTTCAGTAAAAACTTCAATTTCAATCAACATTAACTGCCACAACACATATCGAGGCGTCAATTGAAGTTGCCTCGATTGAAATCACGACCCCTTTTAAAAAGTTTATCTGCAGATCACTTAAGAATCTTTGTCATCAATTTTGTTCAAAAAGTATACAACTTCTCCATTAAAAAAAGTGCTGAAGTGGCGACAATTTCTACCCAGAGTTCATGCCACATTCCGCGTGCAATAATAAACCAAAGATCTCGAGTAAAAAATGGGTTTTGTGTTCATACCAAATCTGCTACAATTTTTTGTTGATCTGCTCATGTTCTGTGGGAGAGGAGAGCACATTGTAGATACTCGTACAGATGTGTGCTGAAGCGTAGCATTCATGCCAACGATGAAACTGAACTTTTGTTTTCAGTTTAGTCAAAGCGTTGAGGTCATTCCAAAAGGGCCTTAACATAGGTGAAGCAGAGAGGGGCCCAGAGACGAGCATAACTAATCAGATTGATGGAAGAGGTTTCCATCCGTATTGGGGCACTGCAGCTCCAATATTTTTGCTTGTGCAGAATTGTTGGCCAAAAGTTCAACTGCAGAACTGAGAGGAGATTTCGATGTTGATGCTGTTGCTGTTGCCTCTGTTGCACTTTGTCTGGACAAACAGACACAAACAAACAGATGGCAAAAACACAGTGAGCCCTTCATCTGGATATTGCTGCCATGAAATTCTCTTGTTTGTTATTTTAGATATTTTGTGGGTTTGTTATTTCTCCCAATTTTTCGTTGTGTTTGCTCCGATTCCCAGCAGGTTCTGGGCTCCGAATCTGAGTCTGGATCTGACGCGGGCTTTGGGTTCCTCTGGTGCCAGCCAGAGTTCCAGTCGCTCTCAGTTATACTCGTGTGCAAATTTTCTCGACAATACGCAACGTGGCAGCAACAAAAACAAGCAAGAAAACAAAAACAGAACAAGATGTAAGCTGCAGATAGGAAAAAATAAACAAAACGGTGAAAAAGCGAGAGAGCGGGTAAAAAAAGTGAATTAAAATCTCAGCCTTTACAATTGTATCTGTGCAGCCAACAAGATACTATTCACACACGCACCCACACACACTCTTTTTCAATTGTTCTAATAGTTGGCAACGTGTGGACGACTGCCAATCGGCACAGGCGCCCCAAAAACAGGGGGCGGTGGGAGGTGCGTTTGTCCACCTTTAATGCCGAATCCAACAAAAATAGTAACAGTGTTTCGACTAGCAGATGACCTGTAAAAGGGTTGAATATAAAGACAAAAATATTACCGGTAGCAGCACTTTTTTTCTTTCCTTTCTAAGTACAAATTGTTGCCAACTTTGCCATTTTATCGGGTTTTTTTCTAGCCAAAGACATAATCGTTTTTGCCTTAGTTTTGATGAGCTTTTTATCTTATCTCAGTGAAAATTGTCGCAAAGATAGACAATCGATACGTGTGTACATTTTTATAAGTATTTGAAATTTGTGGACTATAAATTGACCTCTCTTTATGTCTTTACATATGATTTGTTTCTGCATTAGATATTTTTGTTGTTGTTATAATGTTACTAAATGTTTGTACAAAATGTCGCATCCAGCACACCCTCCCACCTGTTGAATACCCTGTAGAGAAAACAATCAATGCAATGTGTTCTGTCTTTGTGTCCTTGGAGTAAAAGGCCTATCCTATACTTTTTGGGACCACTGTGCACATATTTGCACAATCGAATGTTTTGTTTGCATTTTAGTTCACATTTTGCAAATGTGCCGTTCTTTGCCACAAAAGTATTTGCTGCATTTGTCAGCAGTGGGAGGAGGCATGGGATCCCCACCGATCTTTGAGGGTTCCTCGTTATTGTTGAACATTTTGTGCGAATTTATTAAAAACAAATCGACAAAGCACGCACACAACGCACTCAGACACACAATGCCATTGAGATTGAGTTCGTATTTTTTTTTGTATTTTAGATATTTTTATTCCGTTTTAATTCGGAACATAACCAAGCCAACGCATATACTCGTGGGAATTTCGGCACTTACAGACGCGCCTAAAACAGACACACATAGCCCGACACTCCGACAACATTGTTGATTAGTTATAAATAAATTGGATTCAGATTCAGATACAGATTCATTTTCACTTGTTTGCCATAGTTAACGACGAACCTTCCCTTCCCTTCCTGCCGTCCTAGCACTCTTTTAATTGTACACAATGTATCTTTATTACAATGTTATTTTTGCGTTGTTCTTTTATTTTCTCTTTCTATTAATAACGATTTTTAATTTAGTTTTACTTTGCATGTGGCTCGCGCGCTGCTCGCGATCGTTCTGCTTGTGTGTTGCACGTTTCGGGCGAATGTGAATAGGCGAATGATTCAGTATTCAGTTCTACCATCCGTAATTTGCTACCGAATCAATTCGAGTCGAGTCGTGAGGCGCGTCACGCGTGAGGCCTTACAACAGCAAGATAGATAATAATGTTTGCTGTGGGCTTAAGCGGTTTCTTTTTATCGCAATTACTGTCTTACGTTGGGCCTTTTTGCTTGTATGTATAGCCTCTAAAGACGATACACTCTTCACAGAATGCAGTTTTTTTAAGAATTATCTTAGCTGTGTATGAAATTTAACTTGAAACAGCCCTACACCATGCAAACTGACACAAGCTCCTTGCTACAGCACAAACAAAACACATGATCACGAGCACGTGAGTGCGAGTGTGAGAGAGAGAATTTCAAAGTGCATGGCGGGAAATAGGAAGAATCTTAAATACAATACAATACGTACTTGATTTAAAGAAATACAGTTGACAAAACAATAATTTTAAAATTGAATTTTATTTATATTTATTTATTATTTATTTATAATTTACTAATTCTATAATAAATACTGGACAGCCGAAAGATTTATCAACTCCCTGACCAGAACATTGCCTTGAAGATCTTAAGATTTACTTCCTATTACATTCCATCCCTCCGCTTTACCATTCGATTTTTAGCTAGTCCTCTCTCTCTCTCCGGTAAAGCTCATCCAATGCAACGAAAACATGAGCTACGTACTGAAAAATTTATTGTATTTTACCAAAATACTATTTCAGTTCAAACTCCTTTCCTATTTTTCAAATATGTTTTAGTTCAAGAACATACTGGGCAGGGTATACTAACTCCCTTACTCAATACCCTGCAATCGGTTCCCTTCCAAAGAGAGCGAGAGGGAACAAAATTATAGCATACACTCATACTTGCCGCGCAAAAATGAGCCTCGATCGAGTAAAAAGATGGTGTTTTCCATCCACATGGTATGCCAAGAATTGGGGTGGATTTTAGCTTGCACGCGTTGAATTTTCTGATCTACGTTGCCCGTTGTCCGTTCCCTTTTTAACATTACTTTCTACCCACTGGAGAAAATTTCCCTGACCGGCAAAACTCAGGAGAGAATTTCCCTGACAATAAATTCCCTAACCACAAATTGCCGATTCACAATAAGACGCACAATTCACAATGGGAGCCCAAATCAGCGCGCGCATCAAAATTTGAAAATAGTGATCGCGAAAAAAACAGCGGGCAATGGAACAACAAAGCAGTGTCGAATGTCTGAATTCAGAAAACGTCCGTTGAAATAAGCCACAAGTGATCGTGAATGAAACAACCGCGAAAAGAGTTCAATTGGATTGAAATTGAAATCCCCATTAGCGCAAGTGCAAGTGAAACATCAGCCAAAGGGCAGAAATTACTTAATATTTTAGAGAACGCGAAACGCAAAAGCGCGTCAACAATTACAGTTAAACCAGCAGCGTCGTCGTCGATTCTCGCTGCCCCGCCGAAGACGCCAACAGAACGACGTCATTTTATCATACTCGTGTGAGTGCTTAAATTGTTTAAACAAATACACAAGCAACAAAAGCCGCTGGGCAATCATTTCGTGCGTGTTCAACTCTGTAATTGCAACAAATAGATGTACACCACGGAAAAAGCAACGGCAACAAATTAAAAAAAAGCTGTGCGTATGTGTGTGTAAGTGAAATAAGTGGAATAAAAACCATAGGAGCAAGGATCGCAAAGAATAAGAAAGAAGGAAACGACAGAGAAAAGTGTACCAAAAACTAGTGCAAAGCAAGAGTGTGATGGGAAGCGTGATCGGTGAATTTTTAGCCTAAGGGTGTGCCAGAGAGGGAAGGAAGGAAGCCATAGGGCAGAGCGTAAAAGGAGGAAGTTAGAATGAACGGCACATAAGGAGGTAGAGAGAATAAAGCTGCGACCGATGAGTGTATAAGGGGAGCAGGGTGGGGGAAGATTACCGAACAATGTTTGAAGCAATGCAAAGCAAGTAGGTGAGGGGCAAGGGAACCAAAGAACGCAGTGAAGGAAAATAATAAAAAGTGCGTAGGACAGAGAAATGTGTGCTTAAGCTAAGTGGAAAAAGAAGTGATCGTCGAAGAAAAGTTAAAGAATGCAGTGGCGCAGAAAACAGAGAACACAAAAACTTGTTGCCGCCAAATGCAGGCCAGCAGCAGGCGAAAGCCATAAAAAATTCAATTTTAATTGGTTAACAGTTAAATTTACCTCACAGTGAGTGCAAAGAGTGTTCGCCCACCACAACGAGCTATCCATCCCATTGTACAAACAAATTCAAGAAAATTGTCTGTGTGTCTTGTGTATGGGGGAGAGTTGTTTTTTTTTTTTAGTTCTAATTGTAATATCCTCACATCAGAAACATACCCTTCAATAAAATCATTCTGGATTCCCGTCAAGCTTCCTACTCTTGCCGTATTTTAAGAAAAAACTGTGATCTGTGAGAAATCCAATTTAAGCCACAAGATGCATTACCTTTTGTGGCTTTCAATTATACAGAAATAAAAGAATCTAAATAGCGGGGTATCAACAAGTGCCATGATCCCCCTGCGCGTGTGTTTGTGTCTTCTAACAAAATCCTTTTGTCCCTTCTTTCAGTCCTCTTATTGTGAAGCGTCTTTTTATGAACGTGTCCCCGAAATATCAAAAGTGAATGAAATTTCAAAGAAAACAAGGAAAAAAACCCAAAAAATAATAAAACTACTGCTCTTGGATCTCTGTAACTGAACGGGGTAGACGGATATAACCCACTTCACTCCCAATAACAATAATTGTGTAAGTTTTATATTTTTGTTTTAATTGTATGTGCCTTTGTGTTTTGAATACTCATTTATATTTATCATAACTGCTCTTTTGCTTGCTTCCCTTTTTGGTTTCTGCTCGTTTACCTGTTGCCTGTACCCCCTCCCTTCCCATGACACACACACATCATCTTTCGCTCTCCCCGCTCTGTCTCTGTCTCGCTCTCTATCTCTCTCGTGGTGAGCTCTGCAGCTCCTGCTCTCATTGTCGTACGGTTACTTCATGAATTGCGCTGTTGTTGTTGTTTTAATATTTTCTTTTTTCGGTTAAATCAGCTACTCTTTTTCTTGTGTATCGCTTCTACTCTGTAAACACACACACACACACACTCAAGGTATTCACATTATGTTGTTTTTGTTTCTTATTGTGCAATTCCACTTGGGATTTACCCTAGTCCCCTCCAGATCATCTTGAGCCCAATGTGTATTTGTAGAGGGTGAGACATTTCCGCTCAGTCGAGCTGTCCTATTACGTTTGCCAGGTAACCGGTGGAAGAGCGCACTCTAAGAAAGTCTCACCTCATAAAAATACACCGTGTTGTGGGGCTCTCTTTCTCATGCTGCTCTCTTTCCTCCCCTTTACACTGTTTTTCTTTTTCGTTTTCATTTGTTCCACTTTTATTGCCGTCGCTTCCTTTTTGCCTAATTTCGCTGACTCATTGGCATGCCCAGTGTAATTTTCATATTTTTTCGGTTACTGCGATCTCCTCTCCTATTCCCTTTCGCCCGCTCTCTGTCATTCTGTGAACTGCTTTGCTTTGGTTTTGTGGTTTCGACCACACACGCATTCACACACGTGCACACCAAACCACACACACCACACACACACATACCTGACTTTGACTTTTTGTGGCTGTGCTTTTCCGTGTAGGTTTTTCATTTTGTTGACATTTTGCCTGTGGCTTTGGACCCCGGGGCTGGGCTCCACCACAGGCACGGCACTGCTCAGGCCTTTTCAGGGTCAACTGGGAGCTGGGCACGGAACACGGAGGAGACTCCGAGCCAAGCAAGAGCATTTTTTGTTTAATATTGTGTGTTGGTGGTGCTAATGAGTGCACTGTGGGTGTTTGTGTGTAGTTCAATTAGGTAAATGTGTAGTGGAAATGTTGGAAGTTTTTTCCTCTCCTTAAGGGGATTGATTTACTTTGCAATATGTACATACATATACCTTAAATGTACCCTACTTTGTGCTGCAAGTCTTAACGGTTGACAGCAAGTTTTTCCCACTTATTTTTATTACCAAGCCCTGTTCCAGGAATCTTCCTCACAGTCTGCACATGCACACTGCCATACTCATTTGGTGGTCTCATTGTTCTGGTCTCGTGTTCAGTTTTCTTTATAATAAAAGTAACTAGATTTATGCACATGTGTATGTATTCCGTGTCGTACAACTAGCGCCGTTATTTTAGACTCCAAACGACTCATTTAGCGGGGTAAAGAGATGGGAGAGTTGAGAGAACAAAGCTATGGATGAGGTGGCGTTTTGCAGGGCGACGCGTTGTCGGGGCCAGACGTAATTTGCAAACAAAAGGCCATTAAAATATCAAATTAGCGTCTGGCTTCAGGGGGCTCTCCGAATACGGATTTAGCTAAAGTCTCCAATTGTCGCTGCTCCACGCCACGTTCCCATTCCCCCCACAGCCTCCCACAGGTCCGACTGCCGTCCCACCCCCCACCCGCTATTGTGCAAAATCGAAAGTAAATGAAATGTGGCACCCGCTTGTGTGTGTCGATTCAGTCATCAATTTGTTGATTAACAGTTGTGAGTGTCCTATGTCTGGCCCTCTCGCTTCCACCAATCCATCAACTGAGATTGTAATGAAAGTCGCGTGTTCGTGTGTTTATCGTAGTTATCAGTGCGCTCTGCGGCGTTCCCGCACCCATTCCCCCGTTAGTTTCGCTTATCAGTCATTAAGTGAAATTGTTTCTGGTCGCGAGAAAAAGTTGCACACCCTGCAAAGTGAGGGAGTATTTATTTTGTGTATTCTCTGATTTGCGATCGCCAGAAAGATAACTGAAAACCATACACTATTCTACACATATAAGTTTTTGTGTTGGTCTTCATCCGTCAATCACTGAAGAATAGAAAATTTAATGTTTTAAGAACACAGCTTGAAGAGATTTTCTATTATAGGGCATCTGCTAGTCGCTTCTGTTGTTATCTTGTTTTTGATAACTGAATTTACATGCCACATATCATTCAATTT